TTTTAATCTACATATAGTAAGGCTAAACTTCTGTGTGTACGGTTTTTTGAGTTTCGATATACAGACAGCTTCATGCAACCACCACCACAATCAGAACCCAACATTTCCATCCCTCCAAAAATCTTTGTACTGGCCCTTTGCAATCACAGCCTCCCCATCCCTAACCCCTGCAACCACTGATCTGTTCTGCATCTCTATAGTTTTGCCTCTTCTACAAGGCTGTATACATGGAATCACACAGAAAAAGCTTTTAAGTTTACCACCGTTTATTTATCCAGTCCACAGCAGAGGAGCATATGGGATTTGGGTTGTTTCTAATTTGGGGCAATTATGAGTAAAGCCATTATAACTATTTACATCCAGGGTTTTGTGTAGACATATGTTTTCATTCCTCTTGCATAAATGCATAGGAACAAGATTGCTGGGTTATCCTATAAGTGCATGCTTAACTTCATAATAAACTTTATAATAAACTAAAGCTCAGCAGTGGAGTACTTTGCATGTGGTAGTCTGTGGGTTTAATTCTCAGTAATGGGTGGTGGGGAGGTAATGAGTTGGCTGGGCATAGCAGTGGTGCCTGCCTATAATCCCAACTACTCTGGAGTAGTTAGCATGCACAAGGCCCTGGGTTCAATCACCAGCACCAGAAAGATAAAAGAAAAAGAACTGGCAAACTGTTTTCTCATGTGACCGTATCATTGCCACACCAGGAAACAGTTCTTAGAGTTCCAGTTGCTCCACATCCTGACCAGCACTTGATACTGTCAGGATGTTTGTTGCTTTTTAACTATTATAATAGATGTGTAATGGCTTTTCCTTTCTTCATTTGAAAAGATCCAGGTCATCCTCAAATACTCCCTGTCCTGGGGTCTCCCTGTGTCCCCACTCCTCTCAGTCTGGGTCCACCCTTCCTCTGTGTCCTCATCAGAACATTCAGTTCACAGAACTGAAACATTTTGTGCTTCCCTTTCTTCTAAACCAACCACCAGCTCCTGATCCCCATCCACACCCCCAGGCACCCACAGGTACCCATAGGCAGCCTAATTAGATTCTGCAGTCCTGGGAGCAAGGTATGTGTTTTTATTTTTTTATTTTCTGCCCCGGCACCACTTCAGGTTCAAGGTAGGCATTTCATGAATGAGTGAGTGAGTGAGTGAGTGAGTGAGTGAGTGAATGGCAAGGCAGCTGGGAATGAGGGGAACATTAACATATATTTACACATGGATTGTGAATCCCCTTTTGTGGCCTTCTTAACACACCATGCAAGAATTCCAAAGCCTTTGGGGGTAAAACCCAGCCCCTGCCCAAGGGAACACCTATTCCTTCAAATTCAGTGGAGGCCTGGGACCAGCCTGAGGCCTCCAGTGTTTCCACACCTCCACATCCCTCTCCTCCCTACCTACCACTTTTAACCCCAGGATCCGACAGCTGCTGTCTTAAAGCCCATTTCTTCTTTTGCTCAGCAAGCAGTTCTGGGCCACCATGCCCAGTCCTGGGAAATAAGGCCAGACTCCAAGAGTAGGTGTGTGTGGCTGGGGGATGGATGCCACACACAGAAAGGCATCTGGGGATTATCCACAAATCAAGGTTTCCATCTTTACTTCAGGCCAGCTGGTCCTTTTCATGTAGGCCTGTGCACATGCAGGGACAACGTAGGAATTGCATCTCAAACTTCCCTGGTGGGAACATTTTAGCAGTCACTCAAAAAATGACCCAAGTAAAGATAGCCCCCTGTCACTCTCAGCACCCAAGCCCTGAAGAAAACTGATGCTCTGTGGTCTACTTGTAGTTCAGTGGGGAGTTGGACTGGGTCTTCCAGGCCTATCCTGAGGGTTCATCATCTTCTTTGAGACCTGATTACAGTATGTTTCTCTCACTGGTTCCTGATATAAGTAAGGAACTAATTTCTTTGTGTGGCCTATTTCCACCCCCTCTTGCCCAGCCACCGATTTGTGGAACAACCCCTGCTCAGTTTGGTGGTCTGCTTAGGGGGTGGGAGATTGTTAAAGAGCCTCTGCTCCAGCCCAGCCCTACACAGAGCTGAGTGCATGCAGCAGGAAGTGCCCAAAGGAGAGAGAGGGAGAAGGAGAGGGAGAGGGAGAGGGAGAGGGAGAGGGAGAGAGAGAGAGAGAGAGAGAGAGAGAGAGAGAGAGAGAGAGAGAATCAAATTCTCTAAGCTCAGCAGCTGGATTTCAAGGTTCTCAACTCTTGATTCCAAAACTGGTTTAACCTCTTCTCCTGTTGATTCTGAGAACATCTGGGACTTATTCAGCTCGGGCAACTGCTGGGGCACCCAGCCAGACCCAGATTGCTAGGTCTGTGGGCTGTTCATTCCCAGGAAGCAGCATTCAGCAAGAAGGCCCAGGGACACAGCAGGACAAGCATCTCTGTAGACTGGATTTCTCCTGCCTACCGAGAAGAGAGGCTGAAAGGAGCCAGACAACTATTGGGGGATTAAATCTGTTCTACTTGATCCACCCTGGAGAAGCATCCAGAAGCATCCCCTTGACTGGCATTGAATGAAAAAGGCATTTTTTTTTTTACTTCTTTTAGGTTCAGACCAAAAAAAATGCATGTGTCCCACAAGACTCCAACACATATCATCTATGGGGCACTAAGCGTTTTTGCTTCTATGATTCTATTTGCTCCCCATAACAATCCATTTTACAGATGAGTACTGAGGTTCAGAATAATGGACTGCTTTGCCAGAACCAGGCAATGACCTGCTTGGCACAAACCCTTGGCCTTTTCTCTACTGTTTACCACACCAATCCCACAACTAACACAAGCAATCTGGGATGTCCTCACCAACTCTGAGTGACCCCAAAGAGATTAAGACGGGATGGAGGCTCAGCTCCTCCCTCTCTGAATCTTAACCTCCAGGGATTTTGGCTTTGGCTCTTCTCAGAAAGACTGGCCCATGTATGGGCTCCCCTGGGATCCCATCCTCGTGACTGCCCACCTGATCACATGCCCACGTGACAGAGTAAAATGCCATACAAACTTCCACAACACACTCTCTGGGTCCTGGAAGGTGGTTACAATGGAATTCACCTGAGTTCCACTTTGCTGGATACTCAGATCCCCATTTCCACAATCAGGACGCTGGCCACACACTACTGAAAACAACCCCAAACTGGAAACCACTCAGATTTCCCCCAAACAAGATGATGACCAAAATCATGATGCTGAACGTTAAAGGTGAGGTTATAAAGATTTCTTTAGAGACCTTCCAGACATGGAAACATGCTTTACTATGAATAAACACCAAGCAGATGCAAAACTGCACATTTGATAAAATCTCATCTCTTTAAAATAATATTCAGAAAGACTAGGAAAGCCAGAGCACACACCTGTAATCCTAGGAGCGTGAGAGACTGAGGCAGGAGGATTGCAGGTTCTGGAAGCCAGCCTCAGCTACTTAATGAGGCCCTAAGCAACTTAGTGAGACACTGTCTCAAAATAAAAAAATAAAAATGCCTGGGGATGTATGTAAGTTCAGTGGTTAAACACCTCTGAGTTCAATACCCAGTCAAAAAAAAAAAGTAGGAGATATGCCCAGTGATAATCATGGTACCGACAGAAGTTGTATATATTGTTTATTTTTTCAAAGATACAGAAGGAAAACATTTATTTTTTTCCTGGTGCTCGGGATCGAACCTAGGGCTTTGTGTATAATAGGCAAGGCAAGTGCTCTATCACGAGCCACATCCCCAGCCCTAGTAATAATTCTATCAGTCTTTTTTATCCAAGTTCAGAGCCCTTGGCCTACATCAAGTCTCCCACTACTGATGCAAAGAAAGAAAATGGCAACTGTCTCAATCTTAGCTTTTGAAATATACACACCTAGCCCTGGCAGAGACCCACACCCACCTCCAGATGATCAAAACTGCCCCACAGGTCTTGCAACTCCAGGTTCACTTTTTAAAGACCCTGAAGGTTTCCAAACTTTCAGCTTTATATTTCTAACCCAGCATTTCCCACCTTGTATACCTTGGATCAGTAATATGATGGCATACAGGAATTACTGGATAAAGCCTCTCAGATCCAGTATTGAGATATCCTTCTAAATTCCAGGCCCACAGCATCTCTGTGGAGCTCTAATGTGTCCTCAGTGAGACTGAAGGGGAAGGGAAGGGAGGAGGGAGGACACAGAAACAGGGGAGCTCAGTGCACTCAGAAAACCAGGTGGGAACCACTGGTGTTCTGTCTGGCCAAATTCTCAAATGGTTTCTGGAAGTAGATCAAATCTGAGCCAGTCCTAGGGGGAGTCTCTTCCTTGGGTTTACCTAAGTGTTTCAGCTAACCTGCCTGGCCAAATTCTCAAAGGGTTTTTAATCTTTCCTTTTGTTGGTATCTTTGAGGTTTATCAGTCCACAGATCCAGTTTCATCAGTGACATCTCAGACTGACCAGTCTCCCACCTCTGCCCTAAACAGGAACAGGCCTCTGACCAGCAGGTAGAGGGAGGTAGGGTCGCTGGGAGCCCGGTGTGGAACCTTAGTAGAGCAACTTCAACTACGTGGTAAAAAAGGAAAAAAACAAACTAATAAGGCATTGTTTTTTAAATATGGACACCCAGCTAAGCTGTAGAAATATAATTCCATATTTAGAATTCACATGCATTTTCCAGAGAAAGCGTTGTGACTTCAAAGGCTTCTTGCCCATCGTCAGGAGCCTCGGATGCCATACAGAATACTCCCGTTTCCCTTCTCTGTGGATTGGATGCAATTTGAGCAGCACTTCGTATGGATTATGGTTCAACCAAGATGTGTGAGTCCAAACACAATGAAAGCCACCAAGGTGCTACCGGCAAGGGAACCCGCAACTCTGATCTCTCCCAGTTCTGAAAAGAAAACCGCCGGCGGCCCTTGCAACTTTCGGGGAACAACAGGCCCCAGAAGACAGCGCGGGCTCGCCGCAGAGACGCTGTGCGCCCTAGAAACCACCTGTCCAGGTGCCCGCCCCACCCGCTGCGCGCATCCCCTTGGGCCATCCTACCATGTCCCTGCGGTGACTGGGCCAGTTCCTCCATGCGCTCAGCCGCCTTGCAAACTCATCCCGCCACCTCCGGGCGGCCCCGGCGCCGCGGCTCTCCAGGCGTCCCAGGCAGGACACGCGGCCGCTGCGCTCGGCTCGGGTTTCACGTACTGAAGGTCCACACCTCTCTGGCGGCCAGGTGGCCCGGCGCCAACTCCCGGGCGTGCAATGAGTCCTGGGATGTTCTGCGGGTAAGGAGCCAGGTGCTAACGCGGGATTTGTGCAGATGCCAATATCTGCAGTTCTGCCCGAGCCCTCCCGCAGCCTGGAGCCTCCTAGATCTGCTGGGGACGCTTGCGGAGTTTGCAAAGTCACCGCTGCAAGTCCCGGCCCAGCACCCCCATTCCCCCCTAAAGTGAGGGAGGGGGAAGCTCCTTTCACAATAAGAGCCCTGCCCGGGGCTCAGCCAGCCACAGTTGCCGGGAATAGGGGCCCAGGTGCTGGGAAGGAAAGGGCTCCTCCCTGCCCGCCCGCAGGGTGAAGCGCCAAGGCTGGGAAGCGAGAGGTGCCGGGCAGCGCCTGGATGCGTCGTCCCAATCCCTCCTGTAAGGTGTGCGGATGCTTTATGAGCTTGCGACGGCCTGTCTGAGGTTTCCTCAAACCGCCTCTGCTGCAAAGCCTCGGAAAGACAAGTCTCTTTTATTGGCACCTCTTCGCCTGGTTTGGGCTCAGCTCCCAAGGGCGGTTTGGAAGAAAAATCCGTTGACCGCTTAAGGTCATTAACAATGAACAGATTTTCCTCTGGAGAAACTGGAGAACTAATCACTGTTAAAGTTGCTGGAGTAAGAGGTGGATACGGTGACATTCTCCTCTTCGGATGTGCAGACAGTTCCTGCATGTCTCCTGAGTGGCCTACTTACTGCCCACCGTGGCACAATCAGGGCAGGACCCTAGGGTCTGCATGCTCCTTGTTGGAGAGAGCACTGCACTTGAGCTCTTAGCCCAGAACCATATTGGCTTCACTATTCACAGCTAGGTGGCTTTCAACTAGTCCCTGGACTTCCCTCCCTAGGTAGTCCAATATTTTGAACTCAAGATTCTTAAGAATCTATAGGCAATGGGTGGGAGTAGGGGAAGAGTCAGCAGTAGGATGCCCTGAGAGAATCTGTGGACCAGGCTGAAAAAATTACACTTCAAGATTGAAATTAACAGGAATCATCACTAGGTGACTAAAACTGGCATCTTTCTAATAGCCCTCTGCCCCAGAACGATTGGAGGTCATCACTGACCATGGTGTTTCTAAAGGGAAACAAAGACCCAGAGGGTTCTCTTTGGATACATATTGGGGCCAAGGCAGGGGAAGGGAATGTAATCAGCCCTTAATGTTGCAGGTACCTTCTGTTCGTTATTTCATTCAATCATTACAAGCAATCCTAACAGAAAAAAAAAATTGATCATTTTTTTTTTGGGGGGGGGGAATACCAGGAATTGAACTCAGGGGCACTCAACCACTGATCCACATCCCCAGCCCTATTTTGTATTTTATTTAAAGACAGGGTCTCACTGAGTTGCTTAGCAGCCTCACAGTCACTGAGGCTGGCTTTGAACACGTGATCCTCCTGCCTCAGCCTCCTGAGCTGCTGGGATTACAGGCAGGCACCACCAAGCCCAACTTGATGATCATTTTATAAATGAAGAAATTGAGGATTAGGAGACGGAAATGACTTTCCTGAGGCCAGATATTAAATGGTTTAGCAAACCCAAATCTAGAGTGTAATGAAGAGGAAGATATTTTTAAGGCAAGAACAAAAGGCAGGATGCAGGTCTTCAAACATCAGGGCACAAAAAATGAGTGGAAGAGGTCAGAGAAGGTGCAAAAATTAGATCTTCTGTCATTTCCTTCCCCAACTCAGGCGGACCTCCCTGTGCTGAAGACAGGGTCTTCTTGCAGAACCTCTCACCCCTGTGGGCTTTGCAACCCCATGAGGGAGAAAAAAAAAGGGCAATTTTAAAGTTTTGACCCAGGCAGTTTTGTAAGAGGTGTAGACTTATGCCTGTAAGTCTAACTATTTTTCCTTTCTTCCCCTCTTACCTTACCTCCTCCCCTCCCCTCCTCTCCTCCCTCTCTCTCCTTTCTTTTGAGACAGTAGTCTTCCTAAGTTTTCCACTCTGGCCTTAAATTCCTGACCTTCTGAGTAGCTGGAACTATAGGTGTGTGCCACAGTGTTTGACTTAACTGTTTCATTCTAGAAAGCAAGGTCTCCTTTAAACTGTCCCTGACCCACCTCATACCACGTAGATATCAAAGGGTCTCTTAGTTATATTGCAATGGAGATTTAGAAGGCCCTGTTTCCAAGTTGCTAATTGATGGTAGTCACTAGAGCTGTTTAATCAACACCTAGCTCTCCATCTTTCAGACAATGGTTAGGATATGCTCTCTACCCCAATTGAAGTTAGGTGTGGATATCTTTCTAACTTTGGCCAAAGAGATGGGAAAGGAAGTGACATCAGTTCTGGTTGGAAGCTGTAAGAACCCAGGCATGATTGACCACATTCCTTCATTTAGTCAGTGACTAAAAAGTGTATGTCAAGGTGAAGCCTCCATCACCCTGGGTCTCTGGGTCCTCAGCTAAGCAACTTCCCCTCCACTGACTTCAGGTTCCTCATCTGACAAATAAGGAACATCAACCTTACCCAGCCCACCTCCCTGGGTTCCCATGGCCATGGAATATGTTCAAGTAAGTTACATCATCCAGGACAGGGCTTTTCTCAAAGTCAACGTGGAAAAATAATTGTTGAATCCATGAATAATAAATGAGAAAGGAGCTTATTTTGCAACTGAGATTGCTAACATCCAATTTATGGTTTTTTTTTTCATCATTCACTGAACCCCTATAATTTAGGGACAGAAGTGTACCTGGTCAAAAAAAAAAATGACATATTTCGCAATCTTCCTTGCAAAAGAGGACAGCCAAAGAGAAAATGGAAATCATTGAGAGAGGCCCACAGAAAGCTCTTGAAGGGGGCTGGAGTAATTTAGATTATTGTTTAGCAAATGTTCACTGCAGAACTTGGATCTTTGTTCCTTTGTTGTTGGGTTTGGCCACAGACTAACTTTGACTGATAGGGCATGAGCAGACAGAAACGAGCAATTGTGCAGCATTGCATGCATCCTGGTATTTGATTTGCCAAGTGAAAACAAGCACAGAGGTAATGGGATATTTTGAAATTGAAGTTGAAGTCTAAATAAGTTACAACTTCTAATAAAGAAACTGAAAATTCCTGCTCATCTTGGCTATCCTCCATTGGTGGCAGTTTTGGAGTTCTAAAGCAGTCTTACTTCTAAAAGCAGGTTTTGCTATATGAGTTTTTGTCACATCTTAGCACATAACATCACATAACTCAGAGGTAATCTTTTCAGGTTCCCTGTGGCTTCCTGAAAGAGTTTCGGAGAAACTTTGGTCTTACTAGAATCATTTTCTCTTTCTCATCCTCAATATATTTTTAAATTAAAGGACATCTTTATGGACTAGATATTTCTGTTCTCCAAACTTCATATATTAAAGCCCTAATCCCTGGTGTGGAAATATTCAGAAATGGGTCCTCTAAGGAAGTAATTAAGGCTAATGGAGGTCATAATGGTGGGATCCTGTAGGAGTAATATCTTTATGAGAGTCTGCTGTGTTCCATTCCCACCACCACCCCCATCCTCCATCCTGTATGGCACAACAACATCATGTGAGCACACCACAAGAAGCCATCTGTAACCCAAGAAACCCAAGAGGGGAACCCTCACCAGACACCAACACTGATATCACCTCGATCTTAATCTCCATAACCATGAGAAAATAATTTTGCATTGTTTAAGCTACCCAGTCTATGAGATTTTGTTATGGCAGCCCAAGCAAACTAAATCAGATGCCCTTCTTGTCTCACACTTTGAAAATTTGATTTCTGGCAGGCCAATATTTTAATATCTTTTTAAATTTTTTTAAAATTTTTTTAGTTGCAGATGGACACAATACCCTTATTTATTTATTTATTTGTATGTGATGCTGTGGATCAAACCCAGTCCCTCACATGTGCTAGGTAAGTGCACTACCACTGAGCCACACCTCCAGCCCAATATTTTAATGTTTTCTATGGATAACAAGAATTAGCCACATCTAACAAGGTCTAGAAAGGTCCATTTCTGTAAAACCAAAAATCTCATGAAGTGCTTCTATAGGCACTGAGGCAATTTTAAAGTGGCCAAACAATTTCATTATAAAAGCTTCAATATCCCAAGTGAGCACATGACACCCCATTCTGACAGTGTGTCAAGATATGCAGGTCATGGCATGGCGGCCGGCGAAGAGGCAGCACATTCAATGCGTCCGTGGTAAGGGGATCAGAGAGACTCATTAATACACCCACATGCGTCAGGCTGAGAAACTTCAAGCAAAATTCCACTGAAAGGGGACCGGCCGGGAACTAGTAAGTTTAATTGGAGGTGTCAGCTTGTCACAGACTACTGAATCTCGGCAACGCAGAGCAGGGGCACAGTCCCGCCAGCCGCCGCCAAATGGCCGCTGCATACACGTTGCAGTGAACATAGGAGCGGGCGCTGCCTGCCTAGGCCGCCGCCAGCCCCCGCCAAGCGGCCGCTGCCCACACGTTGCACCGAATGTAGGAGCGGACACTGACCACCTGGGCCCCCGCCTGCTCGACTCTGTGAACCGCCGCCGGCCGCTGCTCACACGTAGCAACAAACTTAGGAACGGGCGATGCCTGCCTGGGCCCTCACCGACCCGGCTCTGTGAACCTCCTCTGGCGGTTAGGAGCTGCAAAGGACCACTCCCCATCTGCCAGCCCGGTGCTGCAAACGACCCCTGACCAGCTCTGTGAAAGGCCCCGCCCACACAGCGAACAGCAAGAGTGGAGACCCGCCCAGTCCGGGAGGAAGAACTGCTGCACAGTGATTGACTCCCGCCTACTGAGAGGAGAAACTTGGCCCGGTGGGTATAGCTCCATCTACTGGAAGAGCAGTTAATCGAACTCTAGGACTACATTTATAAATTTTTTTTTTGCTGTCTTTTTAAATGTTTTTTAATCCATTTTATTTTATTTTATTCTATTTTTTAATTTCATTTTTCATTTCTATTATTATTATTTTTCTTTAAATTATTTTTAATTTTCTATTTTTTTCTTTCCTTCTTTTCTTCTGTCTTTACATTTCTTTTCAATTTTCTTATTCCCCCTTCCTTGAATTCTACCTGCTTACTCTCATTCTCTTTAGTGACTTCTTCCC